CAACGTACAAAATTAAATGAACCTGCAAGATGTCCACATCATCAAGATCATGCAAACCTTTTATTTTTCATTTTCCATCATCAAGCAAATGCAAGCGGGGGGTCCGCTCTAACAAAAACAACTGGAAAAAACACAAAAATAGTTCTACCTCCCGTCCACACTGGAAGACACAGGGGAATGATTACTGAGGAAAACAAAGGGGAATGATGACTGAGGAAAAGGCAAGTATCGAATGGGAGTTAGGGCATGTACAATGGAGGCAGTACCATGCTAGAGCTACATGCATTGCAACAATCATGCAACGCACGGTGCAGTTTCACACATTTTATTGTGTCCTACAATGACTCCATCTTCACCAATTTTACTTGCATATAGCTAGGTGTTTTCTCACAGAGCACTCTCTCTCTTACCTTTCTATCTCGGAGGACCACACTTTTTCGCTGAAGAAGCTAGCTCCTCTGCAGGCTCCACCAAGCCTCTGCAAGGCATAGTCTTTTTCACCAATCTCCTCCACGACAGCATGCATCTTATGTGGAACCATGGGGCAGCTGTCCAAGCTAAACCATTGGCCATGCCCTTAGAGCATCTGCAACAGTTTGTATGTTCAATCATTAATACAAGTGTCCACGTCAGCAGCCAACAACATATCATACATGCTCTTCAATGGCGTCTATGTTAAATAATCAGGTGGGTCCACTAAATATAAAATAAATGAACAGGCTTGCCTCGGAGCTTGTGTCTGGAGCGTTGCTTCAGGTTCATATGATTTCATTCTCTCTCTTCTTTTATCATGTGCCACGTCATCAAAACAGTCTAAGTGGTAATTTAACCAACGATGATCATATCACTGTTGGAGATGCCCATAGAGGGGAAAGCGTGCAGCGAAAACAACCCTCCTTTATGGCTTGACTCTTGCTTCTAAATCGCAGATCAGAAATACAACATAGGAGAAAAATGGCCCCTAGCACACTTCGTGGAAACGGACCAATAACACGCGTACAATGACAAAGGGGCCGATAATAGATGCGGGCCAAACCAGGGGCATAGCAACTGCCGACACAGTGACCAGCAATGTGGGAACAGGCGCTAGCATGAAAATTTTAGCATATTAGTTTGTGTGGTGGAAACTTAGATGTGATATAGCTAAATCTCATCTAGATGAGAATCATCAAATCTGAAAAAAGCAGTGCTACGCAGCCGATAATTATTGGGCCGATGCGTGCACGACACTAGGTAAGCACCGTTCGATTAAATCCTCCATAAATAAGGTACGTGAGGTCTTATCATCGTCCATGTGATGTCCATAAAACATTGTGTGTGAAGCTTTTCCGATCTGAAAAAAAAACTGGAGGGGTGTCGTACGATTTGTTTTTTTGACGCATACAACCACCAACTTTCATTTCGTCACTAGATTAAGCAAGTAAATTTATTATTTTAATACATGTCACTTTCATAGGGTAGAAAACTAATGATCTGAAAGAATATCACTTGTGATTCGTAAATAAATAAATAAATATCACTTGTGAGATTCTTTAATCATAAGACCTTATTTTCTTTGGGATTGTCAAATACGAAAATTTATGCTTCATAGCAACAATTCGCTCCCCATCCCTTCTACATGGAGATGCCAAAGGTCAGGCCTGAACCTTGAAGCGCCTCCTCGACGATCTTGTCCAGCCGCGCCGCCATCTCCGGCGTCATGTAGTTTTTCCAGTCGCCGACCGCTCCCTTCCTGAAGTATACGTCGTTGTTGACGCCCATCATGGCGCTGCTGCCATTCTTGTTCACCTCCGAGCTCTTGAGTTTCTCAAAGCTACAGAGCTGCACGATCTCCTGCACCACCCCTGCCTCCTCCTCCGCGCAAGAAAACGGGCACCCCATGAACGCAGCGAGATTCTTGGTGTTGCCTGTGGGGTCTTGCAGCATGTCCTCGTACCTGAGGAAGAGCACCTTCCCAGGCCTCCTCCGGCTCTCCTCCCAGTACTCGAGGGCGTGGCGCCACGGCGGTCCGAAGCTGCTCTGCCCCTCGCAGAAGAGCTCGAACGCCTCCTCGAACGTGGGCGAGGGAGACTCCAGGCCGAACTTCCGGCGCAGCATCGGCGCGATCTTGTTGTTGTAGATCCAGAAGGAGACCAGAGCGTCCTTTGGCTCCGGGCACACGTAGACGACCCGGCCGCATTCCGTTATGCGGCTGGGCAGGAGGGAGCAGGGGATGTAGGTTGCGAGCAGCCGGGGAGAAGGGAGCGCCATGGTCTCAGGCACGGGCCTGGTCTCGAGGAAGGCGACGCAGTCGTGCGGGTTGCGGTGGCATAGCGGGTGGTTGGAGTCGGACGGCAAGTGCGTGGCGCGGTTGAGCGTCGCAAAGGCGAGCGCCTTGAGCCAGGTGGTGCCGGACTTGGGGCAGCTGGCGAGGAAGACGTCGGTTGGCCTTGGCTCGAAGGATGCCTGAGCGGCGGCCATGCCCTTGAGGACGAACTCGCGGATCCAGAAGCCGCGGTAGTGGCGAGTAAGGTACACCGGGCACCGTGGGAGCGACGACATGATCTCCGACATGTCAGCCTGAGCCCGAGAGGCGGCCTCGTCGATTTCTTCCCCGGCTACGGCCTCGTCGATTTCTTCCCCGGCTACGGCGACGGTGAGAGCAGCATTCATGGCTTCTCTTTGGAGGCGGCAACTGGACGAGCCGGCGATCGAGAGTGGAGGAATGTCACGGCTTCAAGGGGGAAATACTCTCCTCTCTTATATATACATGTGGCAAAATTTAGAGATAGCAGACCACGCGCGCTATCCTCGTGCATGTTATTGTATGTACTACCAACCGTACCTACTCATCCCTAAACAAAGGGAGTGACGTGTATACTCCGGGATTGCTTGGTTGTAAGAGATGCCCCAGAAGATAAGCTAGAATATTGAATTATTGCTATCAATCATTTAGGCGTGGAAGGTCATTTCAGCAAAGACAATCATTGAGGGGTGGAGCCAACTAAGCCCAACTTAGATGGTTGGTTTGTTGTAGTTGAACTATCTGAGTTCAGGTGCTAGACTTCGACACGGATGCTCACATATTTTCTTAATTTATTTCAGCCGCCTCTCCTATATATGCTATTATTTATAGTTATGGCGTGTCCGTTAACTACCGGGCGCATGTAGCGACTTCATAATCTCAAAATATATGGGTTCAATCTCTAAAAGATGCTCATAGAGGTAGGGTTATGTGCGTATATTCATGTTGTGAGCGTTCTCCTCTGTGTTGTGTTTCTCAAATAAGAAAACGGAAATAATGGAGGCGTGTCTATCATCTATCAGTTATTCTATGAGCCGAAGCAACTTAGGCAGTACACTCCCTGCTGAGTGCTTAGTCTCATTAGTTGTATACTTGTATTTTCACTTGTTATAGAGCCGAGGAGTATTTTTAACATGCTCCCTCTGCTTACCTCCTCCTTTTACATGGGAGGTAAGAAGATAAGATTTAATCTGATCACTATTTGATCGTATGTTGGTCTGTTGGTGGAACTAGTATTAAACTGTGTTTGGAGCCTGGTTTTTGGAAAATTCGAAATTCTTTTTTGAAGGTTCAAAAAATTCTGAAAAAGTACACACATGTCTGGATTTATACTACTTTTCGTGGCAAAATACGATGTGAGCTGCTAGAAGTTAAATATAATCATGTATTCATTTTTGAGGACTATGGAATACAATTACACCATGGTGGAGGCGAACACGTCTCGCATTACAGTTCTACTCTACCGAAAAAGGCTTTCGCCCCGCCTTATATATAAAGCAATGACCGACCACATCTCAGATACAAACGCACGCCACCACAACACACGCACACACCCAAGGATGGATACATAGGCGCTGAGCGCGGCAACACTACCCCTAGTACTACAAGAGCAACCGGAGTCCTCAACCGTGGACACGCCAAAGCGAAGAGAAGAAGCCGCATATGACGACGAACCGTGTGCTCCAAGGCGGTGCCTTCAAGAAGGTTACGACACTAGAGCGCCGTCACCGCCCGACCCGAGGGTCAGAGTTTCCCCTGAAGCAACACGACAGGCAGTGAGAGCCGCGACGATGCCTTCAAGAAGGGAGCGATCTTTGCCGCCGCCAGTCCGTCCAAAGACAGATCAGGTTTTCACCCCGGCCAACACTCACCACCACCGGACGCCACATCCCGTTGACCACGCCGCCCACACGGCCATGGCCACCGGGCAACAACTAGCCACGGGGCTCTGCCCAAGAGCACCGCGGAGCCACCCCAGGGCCGCCGCCCTGGCATCGAAGACCTGGAATCCACCTCACTGGAGACCCACCGCTACCTCAACCAAAGATACGAGCGGAAAGGAACCGCCTTTGGCACCCCTAATGCCAAAACCCAAAGGTCGGCCAAAATTGGCCTCCATCGACCCATCCTGCTGCCGGGCGCGAGACGAGAACGGTCCTGCTGCAGGGCGCGAGACGAGGTCGGTCCTGCTGCCGGGCGCGAGACGAGGTTGGTCCTGCTGCCGGGCGCGAGACGAGGTTGGTCCTGCTGCCGGGCGCGAGACGAGCTCGGTCCTGCTGCCGGGCACGAGACAAGCTCGGTCCTGCTGCCGGGCGTGAGACAAGCGATGGACCATAGTCGGAGGAGGACCGAACCTTCGACGGAGGTAGCAACCAGATGACGAGGAGAGGGTTGAAGGTCGAAATGGGCCGCCAACGGACGAGCCAACGCCGGAAATCCAGCCGCCGCACCAGTCGATCCGCCGAGCTGCCGTGGAGCTGGCACGGCGAAGCCACCTCGCCGCCGCCACCCACAGCCGGGACCACAGCCACGCCGGGCCGAGGCCCCAAACCCGCGCCGCCGGCCGGAAAAAGGCGAAATCCAGCCAGCACGCACCACCACCACCGCCACCATGCCGACGAGGACGAGCGCAACAACCCCCGCCTGCCGCCGGCAGGCCCTAGTCGTCGCAGCCCGTGCCGCCCGCGAAGCAGGGACCGGAGGATCCACCAATGTCTAGATCAGATCTGGGAAACCCTCGCCGCCACTCCGAGCACACCCCGCCACCGCATCCAAGCACGCCAGCCCCCAAGCACCATGCCCCGCAAGGCCCAGCAGCCCTCCACGCCACCACCCTCAGCCGCCGCCGTCGTCTTGGCTGCTGCCGGAGCCGCGCTGTCGCGCCCTGCAAAGCGCCACGCATCAGCTCGAGGGGGGCAGCCCCGCGTCA